CTGCATATTCTTAACTCAGTTGTGGGCTATTTTAAGTGTAAAAACCAAAAAAATTTGGGTTCTGTTGTTGCTTTTATCAGCAAAGTGCAGATTGTTGCTTACATGCTGTCTCTGTAAATGGCAAAAGTTAAAACGCATGTGTTACAGCAAAGCTTGTTTGTCTTTTATTCTGACAAACAAGGAAATTCCATTTTAGCCTCCCATTGTGACATAAAAAGCATATTCATTATACTACAAAACAAATTGCGATGGAGGCGATCTGGATAGCCATCAGCTCCAACAAACCCATCTCTGGTAAAGGGGTAGATGGGAGTTTGTGAAGGCAGAGTTTATAGTTTTGACACGTTACATAAGCAGCCTCCTCAAAAGGTGTGCGCTCGGCACAGCTGTCAAGTCTGAGAGGCATTTGGGCGGAAGAGTTCGCTGAGTAAATATCTCACATCATGCGATGAATTTTAACAGCGTGTGGCTCAGACTACATGCTCTTGTGTCTTATCCAACTAGACTGCAGCTGCAATGAGAGACGCACAATTATTCCTCATTTAACTGACTTTTCGCGCTAATAATCTGATTAAGCTCACTAATCTCGTATTAATCTATAATTATCCTATATTTTTAGATGTTATCTGAGATTGTTTATGCTTTACACAATCTTATCATAATGTGACTGCATTTCTAGTTTAGTCTTCTACAAATGCATCTCTGTCCCATCACTCACTTTTGAACTCAGCAAGCAACACAAAATAGCTTTCAAACAACTAAAACATAATTTGAGTTTGATGTTATGTTAATAAAAACGTAATACTCTAACGCACAAATGTTGGATAACAGCCCATTTAATTGGCAGTTTTAATGTCATTTTTATCAATATACGCTATTCTCTACTGAAGATCATGCATTTTGAATATTCATTTTGTGCCTATGTCATCTTAAAAAGCTGTATAGGTAGGCAGCTTGCTACGTTTGAAAAAGAGCTCCAATCATAACTTTATCCATTAAACTTGACTCAACTTAAAAATATCCCTATAGGCAAGTGGCACCTCAGACAAAATAATTCAGTAAGTTATGAAACTCAGCTACATTCCTGAAAAGGTTTCTGGCTTATGAAGTTATGTTTGGTTTTTAAAGCTCCAGCTGAGGACATCACAATGAAGGATGATATTGTTTCACAACAGAGACACTTGAGAGGGAGAGAGAGCAGCATGAGGGACAAAACAGCTCAATCTTCTAAAGGTTGAGCTCCTATCTCTATTAGTAAAGCCTCATTGACTATGACCAATAACCATTTACACCAACAAAAAGACCATTTAATCTGCAAGAGGTTCTGACAAAATTAGCATCTTGTGAGAACAACTGAGAACAACTTAAATATCCATCCATAACAATACGTAAACGCATTAAAGAAATATACCTGGTTAAATACAACTTAAAGAAACGATTACTTAAAATGTTGTATTTTTATCTCAGAAAATCACTTAATCACTGTCACTTATATGAAAAGTTAGTTCACCCAAAAAGAATACAATTTGTCATCATTTACTCACCCTGGTGTTGTTCCAAACCTCCAAACAAAACACAAATTAAGATATTTTTAATGAAACCTGAGAGGTTTCTGTCCCTCCATTGAAAGTCCAAGTAACCAAAACTTAGAAGAACCAAAAAGGTCATAAAGGCATCAAGAAATTATCTATATGAATCAAGCAGTTTAAAAGAGATTTAATTAACACAAACACACATACACTGAAATATTTTATTTTGATTTTTTTTTTTATGTTTTTATGAGATTATTGGAGTACATTTTATACGAAAATGCTATTTCAGTTTTTCTTAACATTTTTTAACATTTCGTTCAATATGTTACTTGCAGTTTCTTTGAAACTGTGAAATTGACTGGCAATTTCTGATATATATATATTTTTTGTAAACATTAACAGCAATCACTTTGACTCCTCCTTTTGTATGTAACAATGTAACTATATGGGACGAATACAGTGTTTTAAATATTCAAATCTCACAGTTCTGATAGCTTATATAAATCATAAACATTACACGTTAGCTTGCAGTTTTTCTTCTACAACATAACAGCAAAATAAATAATATTTTATCCCAGTTTATTTGTTTTTACAAAATGAAGGAACACTCAAAATGATTTTATCTGTTAGTACGTGGTAGAGTTTACAGTAAGTTATACTGAACCCAGAATATTCATCTAATGAACACCAATTTCATGAGCACTAACGTTGCTATGTTATAATTGCAGCGCTGCTACCGAAATAGATCTGCATAATGCATTTTTATTTTCATTGAGGATGCAAAAGAAAAAGACAAATATGGAGTTTGACAGCAGCCACACTTCGTCCTCAAGCTTTTGTTAACTCTTACCACACTCTCTGGACACTAGTGCCAAGATTCCCTTTAGCGAGGGTTGGATTAATTAAAGATTAATTTAACTGCCAGAAACCTTTATTTATTATGACAAATAGCCCAAAGAATGTTCTAGAGGAAGCGTCAGGGCTTATTTTGGGGACGACAATGATGAATTTAATCAACTGTGCTAACATTTTCGAAATTTATACCACTTAACACTGTAATCCTCTTCCTGGAGTTCAGCATAAACATGGTTATAGCTTGCGGGGAGTCAGCATTTGTTGCAGAACTATTATGAACAGTTAGAGACTTAATTCCTGGAATCCTTGACAACCTTTTTTTGGGAATAATAAAGCATTCTGAACTATAAATAGTGAATTCCAGGAGAGATATGAGTTGAATTGAGCCTTGCAATTTTTTATAGTGGAGTGGAGACAAAAGGCCCCAAGAGCAGCTGCTGAATACAGTCAGAGACATTATAAGGAGAATGAGAAAACGCAGAAAAATTGAACGTGAAAAATCACAACACTCAACGTGGCAGTGGTGGGGAAGAAAGTTCTTGCCTTTCAATTACCCAAACCAATTGGGCATCAGCTGCTCTGTAAAACAGTCATAACACCAGCATTGCATGCACAGCTGAAGCAACCTGAAAATTACAGTTTTATAGTGTGATTTGATTTGCCATAAATGATTGACACATCAAGAACATCTACTACTGGCTAAAAGGAACCTCTCTACCTTCATGTTTTAACCTGCTGGACAGACTACACCTCTTCCATCCCACCTAATGCCAGTGTGACCAGGGCCGCATTAACCATTGGGCTAGGCGGGGCTGAAGCCTCGGGGCCCGGACAAGGAGGGGGCCCGTGATTGGCTGTGGAGTAGATTGACTGGTCATCGGTATCACCGATTGCCAAAGCCCCGCCCCTCACGTATTAGCGCTATTATTTAGTGGAGCTTTTCCATATATTCCATGCATTACCTTTAGAGATTAAAACGTCACGTTTGAATTTGATTTACCAATCAAATGCATTTATTCTATATTTTTACTTTTGAACGACCAGTGCACCACGTATCAATCAGGTGATCGCTGCAATGTCGCATTCACCTCTCTTCACTTCGTTCTGGCATAATCTGGAAATGGTCATGCAAAGAACAATCTTCGATAAGTAAAAATGCAAACTCTTCTAAAATGAAAGTGAGAGAGGGGCTATTCTAAAAAAAAAAAAATGAGGAGAGAGGGGAAAACATGAGTTAGAGTCAGTCATAGCCCCGGGGCCCAGTAAGGTCTTAATGCGGCCCTGAGTGTGACGTATCCCGATCTACAAGCAGAAGGAGATGGATACATTTTATTGCATGTGTGTGTGTGTGTGTTTAAATAATATCAATTCACAAATCTGACTTGTGATGCAGGCTGGAATCATAAATCACACCATGTTCATTTATTCGGACCAGAGAAGAACTTGTCCCGTGACTGAGCCTGGATTCCTGGAGTTTGTTTTTTTTTTTCTTCATTTCGGTCACCTGATGTAATGTGGGTTCCTTGCCACAGTCAAAGGAGGCTTGCTTAAAAGAAAATTCATATTTAGTAATATTTTCAAATTGACTGCACTGAAACCATCAGATGAGAACAAAACCTGAACTGAATAATGACACTATTGTTTTGTGTAGAGCTGCTTGAATCGAGTTTGTTTCATAATTTATTAATTTTACATTAACAGTTATTGAACTGAACTGAATCAACATTAAACTGAATTGAGCTGAATAATAACACTATTGTTTTCTATAGAGCTGCTTATATCCGAATTGAACTTATATTTGATTAACTTTACATAGGTTTAGAAATGAACTGAATCAACACTGAACTGACTTAGGCTGAATAATGACACTATAAAGCAGAATTTGAATTTGTCTCATAAATGATGTTGATTGCATTTATATACAGTATGATGATGATGATGTCTCTTGTTTTCACTGTTTCCGTTATTTTCTTGTTTATTACTGTGATATTACTCTGCTTCGAAACCATCTGTATTGTATAAAGTGCTATTTAAAAAGGTGACTTGCCTTGACATAAGCTTGGTGAACCATCTTACACCATTTTAGGGGTAACACATTATATAATCAAATTCATTTTTGGAAGTAACACTTTTTACATTTACACCATAATACAAGTTTTTGTGTACCTCATTTATTGACTAATAATTACATCTGAAAACCTTTCCCTATTTCAAACTTCCATAATTAACTCAAGAGATCCAGATTTCCTGTTAATACCGATTTCACTTTCTGTCTATTCTTCACATAAAGCTATCACATGAACTCAAAAGATGAAATAATATAGTGCACAAGGAGTACTTTTGTGTTCTTTTTTATGCTTTCAAGATCCATTTTGCTGTAACTGCATGAAAAAATTACAAGTACATTCTTTAGAAAAAAAATATCACCCTGTGTGTTCCACACAAAATGAAAGTAATACAGGTTTGGAACGACATGAGAGTGAGTAAACGATGACAGAATTTTCATTTTTGGGTGAACCATTGCTTTAATACCTGGATAAATATCATTAGAGGAAAGTAAAGGCTGTGGAAAATACTTCTCTGAAATGTCTCATAAGCGACACATGTTATTACCTTCCCAGCGGAACGCTGGGTGCACACTGCACAGTGACGGAGAGCCATGCCTGGTTTACCGTGGTGCATCCCATCAAAAGCCTGACACTGGAAAAAAATGGAATGAGTTTCTGTAAAAACTGGGGACATAACCTCTGCACTCTCAAACGGCGAACTCCATTTTCCCACCTCATTGCTCTCAATATGATTGATCTTCCCATTACACGAAGACACAGGGATCAAATGAAACATTACTAATGGAGACAATCCCAGAGAACTCAGGTTCGCCCCCTACTGGGACTGATAAACTATGGATGCATAATGCTATTTAACTGCAGCGTGCATCACAGGTGGGTTGAGCAATGAAGTTAAGTCTTTGGAATCATGGGACTAACTCATAAAAACAAAATGTTTAGGCAGCAAAAATAGGCATGCAGACATGTGAAATATTAATGGAATATTATTACAACCTATTTTCTATTTGAAACTTTTTTTTTTTTTTTTTTTTGTGATGGCGAAGCTGTATTTTCAGCATCATTACTCCAGTCTTCAGTTTCACATGATCATTCTAAAATGCTAAAATCTGAAATGCATGAAATCATTCTAAAAAGCGGATTTGAATATTTCTTAAGAAACATTTCTTATTATTGTCAATGCTGGAAACAATTGTGCTGCTTAATATTTTGTGGAAATCATGATACATTTTTCAGGATTTTTTGAAAGTTCAAAAGAACAGCATTTATTTGAAATCATTTATTTTGTAACAGTTTACATTTCTTAACTGTCACGTTTGTTTCCTCAAATTCTGTTTTATATTTTTCCAAATTAATTTTTTTGCCTATTTTTTTTTCTGAATTCTTTTTTTTCTTCATTTTTTATTTTTCTTGACACTAAATTTTAGTGATCAAAAAGCATGCAAAATTAATTCCATCTCTTCCATTTTCATTTTTCTGGATTCCATTTCAAGTTTAATTACATTTTAATACTCAAGGAGCATGTTTAATCAACCAAAACTTTAAAACTTACCAACTTAATTTATATTTTTTATAATAATAGTGCCCTATGAAATGTTTTATTTTTCAGAAATTCTAACAATTTTTACATAATTTTAACATTCAAAATGCAATTGATCTTTTAAAATGTAAACAAATGAAAATTAAGTCTAGTCCTTAAAAATATGCTATTATTGTTACTTTAGGAACTACGTGAGATCGCCGATATTATCGTGCATGGGTGGGTGGGGGCAAGAGAGAGACTCTCTGTA